TGCTCCCATGTTTTGGCTATTGTGAATAATGCTGCCATGAACATGGGCGTCCAAATATCTGGTGGAGTATCTGCTTTCAGTTCTTTTGGACATATACCCAGAAGTGGACTTGCTGGATTATACAGAAATTTCATTTTTACATTTCCACCAACAATGCAACAATTTTTCTCCACATCCTTGTCAACACTTGTTATTCTGTGTGCTTTTTTAAATAGTCAGCACCCTAATGGGTGTGCAGTGATACTTCATTATGGTTTCGATATGCATTTTCCCAATGATTAGCGATGTTGAACATGTTTTCATAAATTTGTTGGCCATTTGTATATCCTCTTTGAAGAAATATATGTTCCAAGTTCTTTGCCCATTTTTGTATTACTAGTTTAGCTACAGTACTGACTCTCCACTAGGAAAGGAACGTTTTTGAATTTATACTTCCATTCATTTTTTCATATCATGATTTTTCTTAGTAATTTTTGCATTGTAAAGGTTTATAACATTATTCTACTCTTTAACTCATAGTTTTTTCTTTAAAGCGATTTAAAAAAGAATTTATAATGAATGCTTATGTAAGTGTTATGCACTTGAAGATTCCAGGTGATGTGATTAGATGCTTAGAGGAGGGAAAAGTAATCTTGTGTCAATAAAACTTCTCTTTTTTAAGGTTCCTCTTAACTCTTGTTGTTTGGGGCTGGTATGGTTCTGGGGTCAATTTTATCCCATCTGTTTTCAATCCTCTAGGACTTTCTCATAGTTCCTGGTATGCTGTTTGTGCCTTTTTTTGTTTTCGAAGCCTTTGATAATTTGTCATTTCAGTGGGCCCGTAGGATGAAAAGATATAGATGTGTGTTCCCTCTACCTTATTAAACCAGAAGCATCTGAGTTTTGCTTTTAGAAGGTTGGGTTATTTTTATCTCTCTAATGAGGTTTCACTTCTATTTAAATTATTCTATGAATACATAACTTTTTTTTTTTTTTTACCAAACCCACAACCAGGGCGTGTGCCCTGACCGGGAATCGAACCATGACCTCCTGGTTCATAGGTCGATGCTCAACCCCTGAACCATACCAGCCGGGCTATTTTTTAAAATTTATTCAATACATATAGAGTATGCTTTATGCACTATTCTAAATACTATAAAGATGAATTCACTTAATCCATTAAATCTTTATAATACCATATGAGGTGTTATTATTCCTATTTTATAAATGATGAAGTTGAGCCACAGAGAAGTTAAGTAACTCACATAAGGATACACAGCTGGTAAGTAATAGAGCCTTGATGCAAACCCAAGCATCCTGGCTTTAGCTCTCATGGTCTGAACCATTATACTTTGGCTGCCTCTTATATGCCATTCCTCTTTTCTGGAATGCTTTTTATTTTTACATTTCCCTTGCTTTCTTTAGAGTACAGCATGTGACACCTCCATTCATTTAACGTATATATTAAGTGAGCGTCCATTCTGGACCAGACACTGCTTTAGGTATTGGTGATATAGCAGTGAGCAAAACAGAGTTCCTGCTCTCATGGATTTTACATTTAGTTGGAGGAGACATAAAATATGTATAATTTATATATGTTGGCAATGTATTTTTTTCTGAAGAATCAAAAAATTAATTACCTTCAGGTATTAAAGTAGACTAATTTCCAAAACAAGGATTACATTTTTCATTAGCCGATCTCTTAAAGGTGTGATTGACTGTTTGTATCCATTATATTTTTTGTCAAAACAATATCACCTGATAATAGCTGGTGTGGAAAGTTGTGTCTCAGATTAGCATGAAGGAGATTTATACAGGAGGACTCTTAGAATCGATAGCTATGGAGGAAGAGGGAAGGGAAGGGAGCAAGCTTAGGTAGGAAAGACTCAAGATGCTCTGAAATCTCAACAGATACCTTAGTTAACCCTCCAGAGAGTGAGTTCTGAAGAGGAGTTCACACTTCAGAGCTTTCCTGAGTCACATCTAGGGCCTTTTTATACCCCCACATCGAATTAGTCATTGGTTGTGGGCTGTTTCTAGGAAGGGGGTGTGATCATATGCAAAGAGTGAAATCTCTGAAGGAGGCTGACAACTGGGGATTGTCTGCTGGTAATACTTCCAGAAGCTGGTATAATACATGCTCCATTGCTAATGGGTGAATCTGGGGGCGGGGAGTGCGGAGGGGGAAGGTCAGATTAAAGCATCCACCATGAGGTTATTTGAAGATTTGGATTTTAATTCATATTCTATTTTCTGTCTGTGAGACACTGGCAGATAGTGTTCTAGAGTTGAAAGTGTTTTACTTTTTAAATTGGTAAAATAGGATTAGTATGTCTAGTTTGATGGTTATTTTGAAGATTATGTAAGATAAAGTTTGTTTAAATGCCTGGAACATACTCAGTATTCTATAACTGTTTATAGGCAAAAGAAACAGTGATATTCCCTTGTCATAAGTACATCTTCTGGAAGATGGATTTCTCCTAGAAAGTATTTCTTCTATATTTAGTTAAGAAATATTTGAGTCCTAATTATGTCACTGGTTATGTGAATATATTTAAAAGTCCAAAATTTGTGTCTTCCAGTTGTTTACAATTTAGTTGAGGATGTGTTATCAGTATATGATGAGTTAAATAACAAAAGGTGGAACATAAAATACATGTTGGACAGGTTTAGAAATATAGACCATTGGGCTTGTTCCGTTGAAAAAGGTTTAATGGAAGTTGTGTTGAAGTGCCTGTTAAGATTGATCCCCATCTCCCTCCATAAACTGAGCCTTAAACTGAGGAAATGTCAGGATTAAAGATTGGATCATCAAGGTCTTATGTTTGAGGATTGTGAGTTAAACCAGATATTTGTAGTAATTTGTGTTGGGAATGATGGGATCAAGTTGAGAATAGAAATTAGAACCAGATTATCAAGAGTCTTAAATACTACAGAGAGTTGGAATTACAGATTTAGGAGATCCCTACATAGAGATAATAGTTAAAACATTGAATGTGCAGTAGGTTTGAGAGAGAGTTGGAATAAATGAAGGAATAATAGAGCGGGTGTAAAGAATATCTTGTGATTGAAGACAAAAGTGTTCAGAATATAGTAGAAAGAGAGCTAGGGTAGCATACTGTTAAGAAAGCCAAGGCAAGAGGGTTCTTAGAAGAAGGGGCAGAAAACCATGAGATACTTAGGAAGAGAATGATTATCAAAAAAAGGCCATTCAATTTCTATGCTTGGCTCTCTGCTTACCATTAATAGCCCCTAAAACTGCAGTTTTAACTTTTTTTTTGCAGATGACTGAAATTTTTAATTTCTTATTTCCTGCTCTATGCTCCAAATACTTGGGTTTATTCACAGTTCCTAACACAGTGTCATTTCCTTCATTTCTTCAAACAAATATTTATCAAGTAACCATTCTGTGTTAGGCATTATGTTGGCCACTAGGAATATAATGAGCTTACATTGTAGCTGGGGTAGGCGGTGGACTACAAACATTGGTTTATAGGTCTGATGGTAGAAGAGGTAGCCAGGGCCAGTTCACAGAGGGCCTTGAAGACACTAGGGACTTTGGATTTTACTCTGCATGAGAGACAAAAGACATTTGAAGAGTTTAAAATAGAGGAAGCACATGAACTACATTAACTTTGTAAACCCTTAGAACAGAGTGTGACACATAGAGACAGTTATGTAAGTGTTCCCTTAGAGTCATTCTGTCTGTTTAACTTACCTTTGGAAGGATGACTACTATATGATTAAATCATAGGCTTCGCATGGCTTCTTGGGAGAAACCCCAGGCTTCTGCTTAAAACATCTTTTTTATTTATTTTATTTTTTCCATCACGATTTATCCCCTCTATGCCCTCTTCCACCTCCACCCACCCCTCCTCTCCACAATCACCACACTGTTGTCCATGTCCATGAGTTCTCTCTCTTTTTTTTTCCCCTCAATCTCTCCCGTTTGCTTGGTAGTTCAGTTTGCTCATTAAATTCCATGTATGAGCGAAATTATATGGTACTTATCTTTCTCTGACTGGCTTATTTCACTTAGCATAATGTTCTCCAGGCTCATCCATGCTTTTGCAAAGAGTAAATTTTCTTCCATTTTACACAGAGTAGTATTCCATTGTGTAAATGTACCACAGCTTTTTATTTTATTTTTTAATACGTTTTTATTGATTTCAGAGAGGAAGGGAGAGGGAGAGAGAGAGATAGAAACATCAATGGTAAGAGAGAATCACTGATCGGCTGCTTCCTGCATGACTTCCAGTGGGGTCAAGCCTGCAACCTGGGCATGTGCCCTGACCGGGAATTGAACCGTGACCTCCTGGTTCATAGGTCCACATTCAACCACTGAGTACCACAGCTTTTTTATCCACTTATCTACTTTTTGTTACATTTTGAGTTTTATAATGAATGGCTGCTAGGTGGACTTACATACTATTGCTTACACATTTATGTCTATTCTTATATTTTTTGAGTATCCACCTTAAAATATTAATCATTTAAAAGCCAATTTTGGCAAATAGGGATTTTTTGGGAAAACGGTGAACATGAAGGTGTGAGATCTAAAAATTATGACATAGAAAGAATGGTTGACAGTCTTATTGGTGGTTAATCTGTGGAAGTTAGGGCTGAGGAAGAGGATACGACAGACCTTTGTCAAATTATTGAAGGGCCATTTCTTGGACAAAGGATAGACTTTTTGAGAAGGGGATACCTGGGACTAGTGATTGGAACAGTTTTCTGTTAAATATAAGGCAGAAGCCATTCATCCATGGAGTGCAATGCCTAATAGAAGAGTGATCTTCTGATAATGAATATTAAAGCAAAGGTGGGACTACCATCTGTCAGAGCTGTTATGTGGAGACTGAATTAAATTGGTTTCTTACCAATTTAATTTTTACTTTGCACAGATAGTTTCCTGGAAGCAACACATGTTGATGCACATACAAAATAGCTGAAGTCCATCAAGTCGTCAGGCATTCAGTAATGTGTAGAGCATTATTCATTTTAATCATTGTCTAACTCAGAACGCCCTTTCTTTTTCAGGGATATCATGATAACACACTTTGAACCTTCCATCTCCTTTGAGGGCCTTTGCAATGAGGTTCGAGACATGTGTTCTTTTGACAATGAACAGCTCTTTACCATGAAATGGATCGATGAGGAAGGTGAGTGGTAAAGAGAGGACTGCAAGTGTAAGCATTTGATTTAGATGCTATTCTTGTCATTTATTTTTAAAACATAATAGAAGTCCTTATTAATTTAAGGGGAGGGGAGGTATACTACAAATTTGATGCCATTCTTATTTTTCTGTAAGTATTTAAATTGAAAGACTACCAAAGAGTACCATCTTTGTTTTGCCCTTTTTACCCTAAAATAGAGTGAAATCAGTGTGACTTTTTTCCAGCAATAAGATAAATATCTCATCAAATAGTATTACATTTTACTTTAATTTTGAATTTGTATTGTCTTATATTTTAAGTGACCTTTAATAATTTGACAGTATTTTTTACTGTATATTACTTTAAAGAAAATGTTATGGAATAAAAGTGATTGTGACAAACATTATTTCAAAGACTGCGGCAGAAATGCCATACCTTACTGACTTGTACTCAAAAAGCATTTATTGAGTATCTGTGTGTCGAGGATAGTATTTTTCTATCCCCACACTCACAGTCTCATGGGGAGACAGACATGTGAGGTGTTGTGGAATACAAAGGAAGTAGCATCAACATATGCCTGAAGTCTCTGTGATGTTTGAACTAAACTGTAACAAAGAGTAAAAGTTTTTGCAGTGGAGGAGGTAAGGGAAAAACCGTTTACAGTGAAGATATAAAAAGGCACAGAGGTAAGAACATGGTATGTGGGGAAGAGCATTAATTCACTGTGTGGGAGTGGTGTGAGGTATGAACTTGAGCTAGATCCTTGCTACTCAAAGTGTGGTCTGCAGAACTTAGTAGAAAGGGAATCTCAGGCCCCATTACAGACCACTGAATCAGAATCTTTATTTTAATAGGAGTTATTTTCAGGTGAGTTGCATGAATTCCTGAAGGCTTTGCAAGCCACATTTGACTTTATTTTGCATGATGGAATGTCACTGAAGTGTAGTTAAAAGATCTTTCCCGGCTGGTGAGGCTTAGTTGTTGAGCGTCAGCCTAGGAACCAGGAGGTCACGGGTTTGATTCCCAGTCAGGGCACATGCCCGGTTTGCAGGCTCGATCCCTAGTGGGGGAGGGGGGGTGCAGGAGGCAGCTGATCAATGATTCTCTCATTGATGTTTCTATCTTTCTCTGCTTCTCCCTTCCTCTCTGAAATCAACAAACATTATATTTTAAAAAACTGATTTAGAGACAATTCATTAAAATATCTTATAGTACTCTTATATTTTGTATTATCTTTGCTTGGAGAATTCTGTTCCCAGATTGTCACATGGCTTTCTCTTCCTTGTCATTCAGGTCTTAACTCAAATGTCATGTCCTCCAAGAAGCCTTTTAGCCCTATTCACTTTGCATCTTATTTGTATGGTAAAATGCAAGCTCCATGAGAGCAGAGATCATGGTTCACTGTGTAACTCCAGTACCTAGGGCGGTACTCAGTAATAGTATGCACACAAAATTGTGACCTGTATGAAAGCTTAATACCAGGCCTTTCCATAGTGTAGTTCTATGTTTATTATGGGAGAATTAAGCATTGAGAGTAGCAAATTTTAGGTAACAGATTCACATAGTAAATTCAATTAATTATCTGATGAAATAGTCTTACCCTTTTATAATACAGTTCATAGTTTTTCTCTCTAAATAGCTATTAGGTGTCCTAATGTTCTGGGGGAAAACAAGAAAACTATAGCCTTTGCCTCATTCAAATAAAAAAGTTAAACTTTCCATTAATGTTTGTTGATTCCCTTCTTGCCCTGGTTAATTTCTGATACCAGTCTTTTCTTGATTGTAGGCATACAGAGCCAGTAGTAATTATTATTATTATTATTATTTTAAAAAATATATTTTATTGATTTTTTACAGAGAGGAAGGGATAGGGATAGAGAGCTAGAAACATCGATGAGAGAGAAGCATCGATCAGCGGCCTCCTGCACACCCCCTACTGGGGATGTGCCCGCAGCCAAGGCACATGCCCTTGACCGGAATCGAACCTGGGACCCTTCAGTCCCCAGGCCGACGCTCCATCCAGTGAGCCAAACCAGCTAGGGCGAATTATTTTTGAGTTTCTTGCAATTACCTTTCAGTTGTAGTTTTGTCACCTTTGTTTTTGGCCACATAGGCATTTGGGACATGCTTATCTGGAGAAAAAGTTTTCTCTAGGATGTGTGGAAGAAAGAACTATAATTTTATTTCTCTGGTTTATGAGAAACACTGTTCTAGAAGCTAAACTTTTAATTGTGGGGTTTTATATTAGAGTAAATAAAGATCATACGCTTACTTCATTCCTTTAAACAGATTTATGGCAACCACCCTTTTTCCTTGTGTTCAAAACGAGTTCTACTGATTTGTTTTGATGTACATGTGGAAAAACTGGTTTGTTTAATGGAACTAAAGACTTTAGAATGAATAGTAAAATTTTGTAATAATCATAACCCCTTTTCTCATACGTACTGTGAGAGAGTGTGGAGCAGAGAATGATAAATGTGACTTTTTAATTCATCATTTTAAAACTGTGGCCATTTTTCCTTAAGGATGCACTTTTTATATTTACAACCTAATAATATTTTCTAACCTTCTAATTTATTCAGGGTTTGATTACCTGGTTTAAATTTCACTATGTTTCTTTCTGTTCTTTCTCTTTTACTAGAAAGTTAACCTTTGGACATTTTGTTTCTTATTGAAGTTTTTATTAAGGATATTGGGTCATAGGTTCGATTCTGGGTCAGGGCACCTGCAGGCTTGATCCCCAGCAGGGGGCATGCAGGATGTTCATGATTCTCCCTTCCTCTCTCTCTAAAATCAATTAAAACATGATTTGTGTGAAGGAAAAAGTAACTCTGGGCATCCTCAGATCCCCAGAAATAGTTGCTATAAACAAATTGACGATGTATTTTTCTGTGAATATACAACTAGAAAGGACATGGTAATAGGTCTTTTTCTTTTTTACAAAAAGACTGATGTTGTACAAGCTATAATTTAATGTGCTTTTTCACTTAACATCTTGTGGCTATTTTTTCCTATCAGTGCATAGAGATTTATCTTGTTCCTCTTAAAATGTTGTGTGGTATTATAACATGGTTGTACCCTAATTTATTTAACTAGTTCCCTTTTGATAGGTATTTGGATTGTTTGTAAAGTCATTATAAAAAATATTGGTGCAAAGAATATGTGTGTGCACTTGTAGATTTTTGGGGGCACCTGTAGTGTATTATCTCTAGGGTAAATTCCCTGAAATGGAATGTGTCCTTGACGATAGATGTACTATATTGACCACCAAAAATATTGTACTTTTGTTATACTTTCACCAATAGCATATGTGAATTCTTTTTTTATATATATATACCCTGTAAAAGACTATGTGAGGGGAAAAATTGAAAATGATTTGCAGTGAGACTTGGAGAGGATGTTATTTGGATATAGCTCTTTAAATTCATGTCCTATTGGTTTAGATAAGTTAGATTCATGGACATTTAAAATGAATATAATCATTCTTTGGCATAAAAGTATGGAGTTTTTCTGAATTCTGGGAGCTTAAACTTCTTCCTGGCTTGTATTATAAAACTCATGTGGTATTAGGAGAGGAAATTGAGTGTCAAGGTGTAACAAAACCAAACTTAAGATAGTAAGGAACATACTTCTTTTATGTGATATTTTCCAAGCATCTTTAGTCTGGTGTAATTTTAGCTGGTGTGCTGAGAACTAAAATAGCAAATCATTCTTCAGACTTTTTCTTGATCACCCCACACTATATACTAATTTTGGCAATCATGTCAGTGAGGAAAACTTTTTGACTGAATGTCTAGTTATTGTTATTTCAATTACTTTAATAGCAGTATTATGGCTTCAAACCTGGTAATTAAAAAATGAAATCAGTATCAGTAAGAAAAAGCATCTAAGTACCCTTGAGCAGATCTCTTTGTAACTCTTATTTTCCTCCTGCTTCCTTCAACATTTCTTGTAGTGGATGGAGGCTTGCTGGTGATGAATTCTTTCAGCTATTCATGTCTTTATTTCATATTTTTAAGAAATGGCTTTATTGGGTAGTGGGCACACAATATAACATCAGGATGATATATCATAGAATTGTATACTTGAAACCTATATAATTTTTTTTTCCTTTTAAAATTCATCTTTATTGTTGAGAGTATTACAGATATCTTCTCTTTTCTCCCATTGTTCCTTTTATTAGCCAATGTGACCCCAATAAATTTAATTAAAAATAAAACGGCTTGCCCTGGCCGGTTTGGCTCACTGGATAGAGCGTCGGCCTGGGGACTGAGGGGTCCCGGGTTCAATTCCGGTCAAGGGCATGTACCTTGGTTGCAGGCACATCCTCGGTGGGGGGTGTGCAGGAGGCAGCTGATCGATGCTTCTCTCTCATCTAACTCTCTATTCCTCTCCCTTCCTCTCTGTAAAAAATCAATAAAATATATTTAAAAAAAATAAAAAATAAAATGGCTTTATTGAGGTATAGTTGACATACAACAAACTATATGTTTAGAAGTGTCCTCTCCCTTCTCTGTAAAAAATCAATAAAATATATTTAAAAAAAATAAAAAATAAAATGGCTTTATTGAGGTATAGTTGACATACAACAAACTATATGTTTAGAAGTGTACAATTTGAACCCGGCTGGTGATGCTCAGTGGTTGAGCACTGACTCATGGACCAGGAGGTCACGGTTCAATTCCTGGTCAGGACAATGCCCGGGTTGTGGGCTCGATCCCCAGTAAGGGGGCATGCGTTGATACCTTTGTAAAACTGTTTATGTCTGGTAATCCCTGGAAAGTCTTCCTGCACTCCCAGGCATAGCGCACTCCACGCAGAAGACAGCTGGCTTAGAAAAGTCCCCAAGTACTTCTCTTAGTTCTGGCCTCTGCAAAAGGATCAGACTAAGGCCCACCTGGAGAAACCCCTTGCAGTAGTGGGTTGGGGCTGAGTTGAGAGGTGAGGCAAGAGAGGCTCTAGGAGCCTGATAGGGCACCGGTGCTCCCAGACTGCAGTTTATGCTC